GGAGTCTGTTTTTGAAGTTTTTTTGTTGAAGAGTTGCAACTTTTAGGTCTGTAATCAAGTGACCAAAGAGATTGAAGTGTTCTCCAACTTGTTTTTGAATGTTACAATTCTTGACGTCTGATTTGTGTAACTTCCTCGCGGCCGGACTTTACAAAAACTAGACAAGCCATTTACAACACACACTTTGCTTCTCTACAAAAGAAAAAGGACACTAAACTATCTAAACTACTACATGCCACAAGGGGCCACAACAGTAGTTCCCTTAACCCACCCAGCAATATTATTAATCTAGCCAACTATACTCAGCCCAGCAGAAGAAGGTGTCCTATCTCAGGGCCTCTCCTTCTGCCCCTCCACCCCCACAAACATGATACAGTTCTGTGGTGACCTAGAATCCTATTTTTGACGTCTCCAACGCAAGGAATATTTCCAACACACCTCTGAACAACATACTAACCCACAGAGACCTTCCTACCAAGACTACAAAAAGAAGGATTCTAGATGGACTCCTCCTGAAGGTTGAAACAACAGACTGGACTTCTACATAGAGTGCTTCCGCTGACGTGCACGGGCTGAAATTGTGGAAAAGCAGCATCACTTGCCCCATAACCTCAGCTGTGCAGAACACAATGCCATCCACAGCCTCAGAAGCAACTCTGACATCATAATCAAAAAGGCTGATAAAGGAGGTGCTGTCGTCATCATGAATAGGTCGGAATATGAACAAGAGGCTGCTAGGCAGCTCTCCAACACCACTTTCTACAAGCCATTACCCTGTGATCCCACTGAGGGTTACCAAAAGAAACTACACCATTTGCTCAAGAAACTCCCTGAAAAAGCACAAGAACAAATCTGCACAGACACACCCCTGGAACCCCGACCTGGGGTATTCTATCTGCTACCCAAGACCCATAAACCTGGAAATCCTGGGCGCCCCATCATCTCAGGCATTGGCACCCTGACAGCAGGATTATCTGGCTATGTAGACTCCCTCCTCAGGCCCTACGTTACCAGCACTCCCACCTATCTTTGAGACACCACTGACTTCCTGAGGAAACTACAATCCATCAGTGATCTTCCTGAAAACACCATCCTGGCTACTATGGATGTAGAAGCCCTCTGCACCAACATTCCACACAAAGATGGGCTACAAGCTGTCAGGAACAGTATCCCTGATAATGTCACGGCAAACTTAGTGGCTGAACTTTGTGACTTTGTCCTCACCCATAACTATTTCACATTTGGGGACAATGTATACCTTCAAATCAGCGGCACTGCTATGGGTACCCGCATGGCCCCACAGTATGCCAACATTTTTATGGCTGACTTAGAACAATGCTTCCTCAGCTCTCGTCCCCTAAAGCCCCTACTCTACTTGCGCTACACTGATGACATCTTCATCATCTGGACCCATGGAAAAGAAGCCCTTGAGGAATTCCACCATGATTTCAACAATTTCCATCCCACCGTCGATCTCAGCTTGGACCAGTCCACACAAGAGATCCACTTCCTGTACACTATGGTGCTAATAAGCGATGGTCACATAAACACCACCCTATACCGGAAACCTACTGACCACTATTCCTACCTACATGCCTCCTGCTTTCATCCAGACCACACCACACGATCCATTGTCGACAGCCAAGCTCTACGATACAACTGCATTTTCTTCAACCCCTCAGACAGAGACAAACACCTACAAGATCTCTATCAAGCATTCTTACAACTACAATACCCACCTGCTGAAGTGAAGAAACAGACTGACAGAGCCAGAAGAGTACCCAGAAGTCACCTACTACAGGACAGGCCCAACAAAGAAAATAACAGAATGCCACTAGCCATCACCTTCAGCCCCCAACTAAAACCCCTCCAACGCATCATCAAGGATCTACAACCTATCCTGGAAGGACGACCCATCACTCTCACAGATCTTGGGAGACAGGCCAGTCCTTGCTTACAGACAGCCCCCCAACCTGAAGCAAATACTCACCAGCAACCACGCACCACACAACAGAACCACTAACCCAGGAACCTATCCTTGCAACAAAGCCCATTGCCAACTGTGTCCACATATCTATTCAGGGGACACCTCGTTCACCTGCACATCCAACAATGTGATATATGCCATCATGTGCCAGCAATGCCCCTCTGCCATGTACATTGGTCAAACTGGACAGTCTCTACGTAAAAGAATAAATGGACACAAATCAGACGTCAAGAAGACCGGGAAGAATTAGTAGGGGAAGCAAAAGTGGATGGGAACCTGGGAGGCAGTGACCATGAGTTGGTCGAGTTCAGGATCCTGACACAGGGAAGAAAGGTAAGCAGCAGAATACGGACCCTGGACTTCAGGAAAGCAGACTTCGACTCCCTCAGGGAGCTGATGGGTAGGATCCCCTGGGAGAATTACATGAGGGGGAAAGGAGTCCAGGAGAGCTGGCTGTATTTCAAAGAATCCCTATTGAGGTTACAGGGACAAACCATCCCGATGTGTAGAAAGAATAGTAAATATGGCAGGCGACCAGCTTGGCTTAACAGTGAAATCCTTGCGGATCTTAAACATAAAAAAGAAGCTTAAACATAAAAAAGAAGTGGAAGATTGGACAAATAACGAGGGCAGAGTATAAAAATGTTGCTCGGGCATGTAGGAATGACATCAGGAGGGCCAAATCGCACCTGGAGCTGCAGCTAGCAAGAGATGTCAAGAGTAACAAGAAGGGTTTCTTCAGGTATGTTGGCAACAAGAAGAAAGCCAAGGAAAGTGTGGGCCCCTTACTGAATGAGGGAAGCAACCTAGTGACAGAGGATGTGAAAAAAGCTAATGTACTCAATGCTTTTTTTGCCTCTGGTCAGCTCCCAGACTGCTGCGCTGGGCAACACAGCATGGGGAGTAGGTGGCCAGCCCTCTGTGGAGAAAGAAGTGGTTTGGGACTATTTAGAAAAGTTGGACGTGCACAAGTCCATGGGGCCGGATGCGTTGCATCCGAGAGTACTAAAGGAGCTGGCGGCTGTGATTGCACAGCCATTGGCCATTATCTTTGAAAACTCATGGCGATCGGGGGAAGTCCCGGACGACTGGAAAAAGGCTAATGTAGTGCCCATCTTTAAAAAAGGGAAGAAGGAGGATCCTGGGAACTACAGGCCAGTCAGCCTCACCTCAATCCCCAGAAAAATCATGGAGCAGGTCCTCAAGGAATCAATCCTGAAGCACTTACACGAGAGGAAAGTGATCAGGAACAGTCAGCATGGATTCACCAAGGGAAGGTCATGCCTGACTAATCTAATCGCCTTCTATGATGAGATTACTGGTTCTGTGGATGAAGGGAAAGCAGTGGATGTATTGTTTCTTGACTTTAGCAAACCTTTTGACACGGTCTCCCACAGTATTCTTGTCAGCAAGTTAAAAAAGTATGGGCTGGATGAATGGACTATAAGGTGGGTAGAAAGTTGGCTAGATTGTCGGGCTCAACGGGTAGCGATCAATGGCTCCATGTCTAGATGGCAGCCGGCATCAAGTGGAGCGCCCCAAGGGTCGGTCCTGGGGCCAGTTTTGTTCAATATCTTCATAAGTGATCTGGAGGATGGTGTGGATTGCACTCTCAGCAAATTTGCAGATGATACTAAACTAGGAGGAGTGGTAGATTAGGTGGCAGGTAGGGATAGGATACAGAGGGACCTAGACAAATTGGAGGATTGGGCCAAAAGAAATCTGATGAGGTTCAACAAGGACAAGTGCAGAGTCCTGCACTTAGGATGGAAGAACCTCATGCACCGCTACAGACTAGGGACCGAATGGCTCGGCAGCAGTTCTGCGGAAAAGGACCTAGGGGTGACAGTGGACGAGAAGCTGGATATGAGTCAACAGTGTGCCCTTGTTGCCAAGAAGGCTAATGACATTTTGGGATGTATAAGTCGGGGCATAGCCAGCAGATCGAGGGACGTGATCGTTCCCCTCTATTCAACATAGGTGAGGCCTCATCTGGAGTACTGTGTCCAGTTTTGGGCCCCACACTACCAGAAGGATGTGGAAAAACTGGAGAGAGTCCAGCGAAGGGCAACGAAAATGATTAGGGGGCTGGAACACATGACTTATGAGGAGAGGCTGAGGGAACCGGGATTGTTTAGTCTGCAGAAGAGAAGAATGAGGGGGGATCTGATAGCTGCTTTCAACTACCTGAGAGGTGGTTCCAAAGAGGATGGTTCTAGACTATTCTCAGTGGTAGAAGATGACAGGACAAGGAGTAATGGTCTCAAGTTGCAGTGAGGAAGGTTTAGGTTGGATATTAGGAAAAACTTTTTCACTAGGAGGGTGGTGAAACACTGGAATGCGTTACCTAGGGAGGTGGTAGAATCTCCTTCCTTAGAAGTTTTTAAGGTCAGGCTTGACAAAGCCCTGGCTGGGATGATTTAATTGGGGATTGGTCCTGCTTTGAGCAGGGGGTTGGACTAGATGACCTCCTGAGGTCCCTTCCAACCCTGATATTCTATGATTCTAAGAATTATAACATTCAAAAACTAGTTGGAGAACACTTCAATCTCTTTGGTCACTTGATTACAGACCTAAAAGTTGCAATTCTTCAACAAAAAAACTTCAAAAACAGACTCCAACGAGAGACTGCTGATTGGAAGTAATTTGCTAACTGTATACAATTAACTTAGGCTCGAATAGAGACTGGGAGTGGATGGGTCATTACACAAAGTAAAACTATTTCCCCATGTTTATTTCCCGCCCCACCCCCCCACTGTTCTTCAGATGTTCTTGTCAACTGCTGGAAATGGCCCACCTTGATTATCACTACAAAATGCCCCCCCCCACACTCTCCTGCTGGTAATAGCTCACCTTAAGTGATCACTCTCCTTACAGTGTGTATGGTAACACCCATCGTTTCATGTTCTCTATGAATATAAATCTCCCCATTGTATTTTCCACTGAATGCATCCGATGAAGTGAGCTGTAGCTCACGAAAGCTTATGCTCAAATAAATTGGTTAGTCTCTAAGGTGCCACAAGTCCTCCTTTTCTTTTTGCGAATACAGACTAACACGGCTGCTACTCTGAAACCTGTAAAAAGTTTATAATTTTATAAACATTAATTATAGGCTCAGTTGATATTAGGTTACTGTGGAGCAAAATAATTTAAAAAAAAAATGCTGGAAAATTACATCTCCTCCTCTCAACACATACATGCATGCACACACATACAGACGCACACACATACACAAATGGTTGAGGCATTTTTCTCAAACTTTCAAACAACAAAAATCACCACTGAGCTGAGAACTTCTGGAGAGTTTCCGGTCTGGAGAAGAGTTCTTCAAAAAGTTGATGACTCACTCAAATAAGGCAGTATAATGAAAGCCCACTTTAACCTCACTCTTGTACCAGGTGACTGATATACTGTATAGCACTTTTCATTCTCAAAGCTCCCTACAATATCCCTGCAAATAAGTTTTATCATCTGCCTTTTACAGGTGAGGAAAATAGGGCAAAGATGCTAAAGAGTCACCACAGTAATACAATTAGGACCTCAAGTTCCTGGCTCCCTGGCCTATGCTCAGACCTCTAGCCCATGCCACTTTCTCTCTCTCTCTCTCTCTCTCTCTCTCTCTGCAGACTACAATGTGTGACTACACCTCCTGGGATTCCTGTGATCCCCCTCAAACACAGGAGGTAAACTCTTATGGGGATTTAGTGCTGGAAGTTCAAAAATGAAAAGGCCATAGGCTTAGCCAAATTGGAGAGAACCAGAGAGGAAATAGGATCTGAATCCTGGCTAAGTAACAGGGCGTTCATGAGCCAATTCAGTTTCTGTGCTGAGTGATCGCCTGAGGCCAGTCAGAAAGTGCTTATCAAGTGAACCCCGGGAGAGGTGTGACGGAAGCACTGAGGACACAAGTTGCCTCCAGACTTTAAAATGAAAAGACAGGTTTGATTTAGAACAATGATTAGACAGAACAAGAAGATTAAAGGTGAGCTCTGGTATAAAGGAGAGTTAGTACAGCAGCTATGGAAGAGGCATAGAATCAACCACTAGGCATGGAGCAAGATTAACAATATCTGATCTGTGGAGCAAAAATGTCAAACTGAGCTACCCACAGTGAGGAGACAAAAGGCTCCAAAGAACAGCTACGGGGGGCAGATGAGGCAAAGTGACACATTCAAAGCAATGAGAATTTGGTGCATTTGCTGCCAACTAACGACTGAGTAAATGCAATAGGTTACTGAGGACACTAGAGGGAACTTGGGCAAAAAAGACAGCAGAGAAGGCAGGACTAAAACAAGGTAGTATTTGTATTACCTGATTTACCCTTTTGTTTATTTACTCTTTCTCACAATAGAAAAACCAGGGCTCACCCAATGAAATTAAAAGGCAGCAGGTATAATACAAACATGACAAAATACTTTTTCATACGACATACAATTAACCTATGGAACTCACTGCCATGGGATGCTGTGAAGGCCAAAAGTGTAACCGGATTCAAAAAAGAATCAGATAAGTTCATGGAGGATAGGTCCATCAATGGCTATTAGCCAAGATGGTCAGGATGTAACCCCATGCTCAGGGTGACCTTAAATCTCTAACTGCTGGAAGCTGGGAGAGGAAGAGGGATGGATCTCTTCAAAATTGCCTTTTTCTGTACGCTCCCCCTGCAGCTCTGGTACTGGCCACGCCCAGAGACAGGATACTGAGATAGATGGACCATTGGTCTGACCTAGTATGGCAGCTCTTATGTTCTTATTAGCACAACAGGCGCTGTACATTGTAAGAACAGTCCCTGCTCTGAAGGGTTTATAATCTAAATAGATAAAGCAGATGAAGGATGTAGAAGAAGTGAGTATCATTATTTTACAGATGGGGAAACCAAGACATGCAGATGTAGTGATTTACCCAAAGCCAGGCAGGAAGCTTCGAGCAGAGCTGGAGCTGAACCCAGATCTCTTAGGTCCAGTCCAGTGTCTTATCCACAGAGCACCTTTGTGCTATTTTCTGTTTTATGAATCCTATTTAACCCTCTTAAACACTCACTCACTTCAGTCAAATTAGAAGTGAGAGAATAGTGTTCAATCCAAAGTCACGTACGCAAGCATTTAACAAAACCAGATGTTGCATTTGCACATGCCAGAGTTTTCACAAGAAGTGCTGGCCTGGTCATCCAATCAGGGAACAGAGACAATACCAGATGACCAATACCTCATCAAGCACAACTACTCAACACAAAAAGAATATCACATGCTTGCAAAGAATCGTTCATGATCCATCCTCAGAGACAAACGAGAGTTCATCCCAAAAAAATCAAATCATTTTGAATCCCAAAGGTGTCTGTGGAAATCATGCTCTGTTCCCATATATTCTATGAGGAGGAAAAGGTTTGAAATATGTTGGATAAATTATTCATTACAAATTACTTGCACAGTACTAGTCAAAACCCAACAGCAATAAACGAGAGATTGTTTATCAAAAAGCAAATGGGTCTGCACATTTGAATGTGCTCAATTACGGTCTGTTTTATTCCCCCTCCCCTACCCCCATGAAAGTCTGCTAAGTTCCCTTTGCAGAATCTGTGTTACTTGTGAGGCTGATAGAGGAAGAGCTGGAATTTCACATCCTAGGCAGAGCTTGACTTCGGCTTTGTAAGCAAAGCAAATTAGATTCAGAGGCCTTTGAAAGGGCAGAAATAGGGGAACCCACTTTTCAGAGTATAGCTGCCCTTTAAGCTGTAAAAATGACTGACCCAATACTGTCATCTTGGGAATGTTTGAGCTAATAAAAGAGCGCTAAAAATAATCAGCACAGACTCATTAGCTCTTTAATTGCTAACTGCTCTTTCTTTCTCTCATAACCAAATGTCACTTTGTCCCATGTATCTCGCTAGTTACATTGGTTAGTGAGTGCCAGGGGCTGGCTGAGCCCAGTGCATGTCAATACAACTTACCAACACTGCTGTGTAGGTGCTAATCCATCTTCAGCTCCTCCATTCCGCAGCAGATCTGAGTAACAACCTGACATTTTTGCACCCTCCAAAGCACACTCCAAGCTAGGCAGCGGGGAAAAGAGCAGTGCAGAGAGAGCAGGGAGGGAAGTGACATTAACAGACTCTGAAGTGCTCAATGCCTGGCTGTCCTGATATATGGAATCCTAGTCCTTTAAACAGGAGACATTTATTAAAGAAACAGCCATTACTACAGTGTTGCCGGCACCCAGTGCCCAGAGGCAAAACAACAGCAGGGGTTTGTTGCCCGGTATGTGTTACCCAATAAACACAACGGGGTGGAGAAGCAGAAAAGTTTATTTGGAATTTTAAAGAAAGGTGCTGGGAGAGACATTTTAAATTTTGCACACCAGAGCAGGTTATTACACACACTTTTATATTTTTTAATGTTATTGCACTATATATTAGCCAATTAAAGCTTTGTACAAATATTTTGCTTTTTTTATATGGGTTATAACAATGTTTATTTTTTGCAACTTTTAATAAGCATTTTTAGCAACTTAGATAACTAGCACATTTTGTTTGGCCTTGTAGCTGTATTTTTTTTGTTATTTTTAACTTGGCGTCAGCAAACCTTATACTATGAGGCATTATCTACAACTGCAACATTGTTTTAAGAGCAAAAGAGCTTACTCAAACCAGCCAGGCCTGAGTTCTATTAAGGGGGGTTGATAAGAAGCCCTTAGGCCTTCAGCAGGGAGACTTCCTCGACCCTTATGGCCTTCCATCCCCTTGACTTAACTAGTGGCCATGCCCTGGGGTCTCCAACAATTCTTTTTTTTTGAGAATATTTATTTTTGTTGCTTGCATTTTTTTATTTTTATTTATTTATTAGCGGGCTATGCATAAAATTAAAATTTTTAAAGCTATGCAAAATAAGCATTTTTATACAGGACTACATATAACACAGTAAATATAACATGATTAATACAGGGAAAAAAACTTAAATAATAGGCTAAACAACCCACTTAGCCACGGGGAAAGGCCCCAACCAGAAAATAAAGAGCCTAGCCAATTTTTTTTAGATTGCTGATGAATGCTTTTTGCCAGCTGCTGTAGGCATTGTAAATTAGTTTTTACGGATGGCCCTGCATTTGTTATATTAAAGCAACACATGCCTGCGAACTTTTGGCATAGGTGACCATGGCGTAGAAGCAAATAATTTACAGCCAGCTTGTTTTGTAGCATACTTTGACATACTTTTTTTAACTTATGTGAGAGTTGGGCCAGGACGGTTGAGGTTAAATTAATGGCTTTTGCTACTGTGCAGGCAAGGTGCTTTATTGCGTGATAATTATGCACTACAAGCCCAGGAATACTAACTAAGGAAAAGGCCAGAGCTGCTGCCTCAGCCTCTGAGAATAAGGTTTTTTGAGAACGACATTGCGTTTACTGCACTTTGGGCCAGTGCCAGCCAGGTATTCATGAGTACAGTGCCTGAAACAGCAGTACCGGTTAGGCACAGGGCCAAGAGGGGGAATAAAATATACTTTTTTATTTATTTTTTTGCCTTCCCGGAGGGCTGCCCTTTGAATAATAATTTTAGTTTAAGATTTTTAGTGGAGGGGGCTGAATGCACGGTCCACCTTTCAGCCGCGGGGGTTGACACTACAGGCTTCCCTATAACTCAGGTTCCAGCTTTGTCTGTGTTGTTTACCAGGGACCACACCCTGTTTTAAACTCTGTACAGCACACACAAACATCTTGTAGCTGTATAATGTACTGCAAGTCAGCAGACCATTGCAGTGGCCTTGTCTACTCTGGTGTAACACCAGTGGGAGCTCTTGTGTAGATGAGGTGCTCGGGACTGCTGGTGTATTTCCTGCCATGTCATTTAGTCTTTCTCTGAGCAGGGCATGATTACACAGTGGTAAAAATGCTGGCACCTGTCTGCACTAGAGCTGCTACTGTTGCTGTCAACACTGGAGCTGCAAAAGTCGGTAGTGTTAAGAAACAGCCATGGAGCTTGTTAATTGGACTTTGCTGCTGTTCTCTAAGCAGCTGGGAGAAAGATGGAACCTAGTAGCCAAAGTGCAAGTCAGGATTCAAGAA